GATAAATATTTAGTTTATTAAGTGTTTAATATTCAGTCTTTCAGTCTTTTAATTTGTATAACAACATTACAATATTTAGTCTTTTAAGACTGTATAACAGAACTACAATTTGCATTTTGAACAGTAGCTAGAAATACAGAACTTATATAGAAATCACGATATCTGGAGGGGTTTCTTTCCAAACCTATCTGGTTTTTTGCAAAATTGTCTTCCCGAAAGATTCCACATAAGCCCACCAGGGACTTTTAGATTGTCTACAACACGACATCATATTTAATTTTTCAGTGTTAAAATGAACAGTAGGATCTAGGAAGAATTTACAAGCAAGGAGCATTTGTGTACAGACTGCAGTATTTTTTCTACGGAGCTTGCAAGTTCTGCAATAAAAGGTAGTTTGCTGTCCTGTGTAACTACAAATGAGAGGTGGTAATACAATGGCTGATCTGAGAGTGTGTTCATGCCCATATTGAGGGGTTATTTTGTTTTCTCCCCTCTACCTCTAACACAGCAAGTGCGATGGAGGGGCTGGCACAGACACCTGAGAGGAAGAAATCTTTCTCATTTCACAGCTATTCTCTGGGTGTAAATTGTTCCAGAGGAAACCTAATTAGCTCCACCAGAAATATGACTAATTAATTGCTTTAGCTTCCGACCTGGCAGCGGAACAGTAAGGTAGCGCTGGCCACCATGGCGGGAACTGTTTTTGTTTTTTCAGAGCCCCAAATTCTAGCTCTGGCCATGTCTGGTGAAAGATGCTGAATCCATGGCACCCGTCCTCCAAATCTGGAGATAAAGATTGGGATTCTTCCCACGCGTTTCCAAACTCCCTTGGAGTACATGCCTTGTGTGATGGTAGCAGTTCCGCCTTTGATTAGCTGACGCGTGAAAACTGGTGGATGCTGCCCCATAATTGCCCAGCCCTGCGGTCGGGCACGCTTCTGTTGGCGGTCAGGGCGTCCTGCAGCTTGACACAACGCACGCACACGACCGGGCAGCAGCTGTCTCCTTTGTGCATCCATTTTCAGTAATTAATTGGCTATCCTCTGACTTCTGATTGGGAGGGTAGTGATGCTAATTTTGCAGCTCCTAAATTGAGTGTGATCAGAACAAAAGCTTTTGTGTTCCTAAATGTGCGAATAGTAAAGCCGATCCCAAATGTGCCAATATGAAATAAGCCATAGTGCTGTAAAATTTAGTGGTAACTATTAGGACTTTTTACCATTTTTTACTGTCAGGAGCGCAGACAGTTTACAGAATTCTATTTAAGGGATATATATGGACAGCTTATGTTTAAGGAATCATTCTTTGCATGAATGATTTGAATCATTCTTCAATCTCTCTGGGCACTGAGGTGCTCTCCATTTCAAAAGAAACTAGAGCTCAGAATAAATAACGTTGAAAAAGCATCTCGTTTGGCGAGAAATTGCAGCGTCATTAACGTTTGCATAGAAACGGGAAGGTGTGAACAACCTTTTTCCTCTGGTCTGTGCTTTTGCTCCTAGACTGAGCTGTGTTTCCCGCGTCTGCATGCAGCCATGCCTGCAGCTCCTGCGGCGGGCTCCGTGCAGCTGCGCTCGTGTGGCTCTAAATGCGCTGGAACTGGGAGTCGGGTGGGTCGGAAGGGCCCTCCAGAGAGCATCTACTCCAGCCTCCCTCCTGCGGCAGGTTGCTCAGGGCCTTGCCCGGGCAAGTCTTGAACGTCTTCAAGTATGGGAGCCCCACAGCTTCTCCGGACAGCCTGTTGCAGTGTTTGACCAACCTCTTGGCGGGACGTTTTTTCTTCTTTTGTTCTTTTCTTTTTTAACAGGTCTGAATTTCTTGTTTTCCAACTTGTGACTGTTGCTTCTTGTCCTTCCAGAAGCTACAGACTCCATCTTTCCGTATGCTCTCAGTAGGTTGATACCCACATAACCTCTTCTAAGGGTTACTCAGCTCTCATCATGTGCCACGTGCAATGGTCCCCTGCTCGTGTCATGGCCCTCCACCGGACTTGCCCAGTATGCCAACATCTTGTACTGGGGAGCCCAAAGTGGACACGGCACTACAGATGTGGTCTCACAAGTGCTACGCAGAGGGAAATTATCACTTCCCTGGACCTGCTGCATATGATGCTGCTAATAGAGCCCGTATGGGGTTGGCTTCCTTCACCTCAGGGGCACACTTGTGCCTGGTGTTTAACTGGTTTTCCACCAGTACAACAGGTGTTACTCTGCAGAGCTGTTTCACAGCCAGTTGGCCCGCAGCCTGTACCGCTGCATGGGAATATCTCCATTGCAGGTGGAGGAATTTGCATTTGTGTTTGAGCTTGATGTCAGTCCATTTTTTTCCAGCCTGTCAAGGCCCTTAATGAGGAGCAGCCCCACCATCCGCTGTATCAACTACTCCCCCCAAACTGGTGTCTTCCACAATCTCTGGGATGGTTGTCTATCCATCCAAGCTGCTAATTAAATGAATCCATTATTATCTGCAAATTGTAGATGCAGAATCTCTCTGAAAGCTGGTGCATGAAGTCTCAGTTGCTCTGTGACCTTCTGGATCTGACTTAGATGCTTTCCTTCCTCCCTGCTGCTCTGCAAGTCCAGGGGTCCCCTTGCACGGAGTGGCTCAGTGGTGCTGCAAGTGGTTTCTCCCTCTGCGAGTGCCATCAAAACTTGTCCATTCAAAATGCAGTGAAGAGTTTTGCACCGTCTCAGAAGAGAAACCAAAACTAAACATGGGTGGCAGCATTTGAGGAGATGCGCAGAGGGGGAGCTGCCTGCAGCCTGGGGCTGAGGCTGTCGGCACTGGGAGCAGACTCACGGACCGAGTGCCAGCGCTTGGATTGGCAGCTGCAGTCCTGGCAAAGCCAGCAACAAACACAGCCTAAATTTCAGCCTGTTATTTGAGGGAGCTAGCGTGACCCTGTATAGCCAACAGTAAGCCGGGGGGAGGTGAGGGATGCCAATGCATAAATAGTGCATGCCCTAAGACATTTACTGAACACGTCTAAACCTCCAGGGTATCTGATGAGAAATTGCATTTTTCAGACTATCCTCATCAGCCTTGCAATGAGACAGTGGAGTTTTTTTCTCTCTGGCATTATTGTTAGTGTGTGAACTTTCTACTCATCGACTTGTGCTTCTTGTTAGAACATTCAGATCTATTCTCTCCAAGTGCAGGACACTGTTATTTCAGTCGCCTGGTGCAGTAATTTATTATCACAGAATCACAGAATGGTTTGGGATGGAAGGGACCTTAAAGCTCCTCCAGTCCCACCCCCCCTGCCATGGGCAGGGACACCTTCCACTAGACCAGGTTGCTCCAAGCCTCATCCAGCCTGGCCTTGGACACTTCCAGGGATGGGGCATCCACAGCTTCTCTGGGCAATCTGTTTTTCTAGGGGACAGGCAAGTCTGATAAAATTTTCTAAAGTGTTTACAGGAACTCAATTCAATTTCCAGGTGCTAAAATAGCATCACTATTAAAGTCTAAATTATTAATGATGCTTTCACAGTCAAGCAGTCATGTTGCTTCACTGCATTTATCCTTGGCTAACATGTAAACGGATTATTTGTAATGAGACAGCTGTGGGTTGCTACTGGATGTGGATTTTGCCACTTCAGCCTGAGAAGGATATTTCCCCCTTGCACCCAGCCTTTGGAAAGGGATCACCAAGGGAGGTTTCAGGAAACCGCAAATCTGTTCAATGCCCGCTGGGGAAAGAAAGCACGTGCGAGGCTGTGGAAAGTGGCATTGATTATTTTAGGAATTAACATCGCACAGAAAGGGGATGGAAAGTTCCAGCGTAAAGCAGCTGCAGGATTTCTGAGGGCCTGCTTTTCATGGTCTGTATGAGCACCTTTCCCCGCCCGGGCTCAGGGTCTCCGATGTACGGCAGAGCCGGGGGCAGGGACCCGTCCGTGCCTGGGCTCGGGCCGCCCCTCTGCTCTCATGTCCCACAGCAGCGAGATGCCGGCCCGCAGGAGCACGCTGGCACTTGGCCTCCTCCGCTTCGCTTTCATCCACTCCTGCGCTTGTTCTGTCAGTGCTCTGGAAGAGAAAGAATCCTGACACGTTTGTGGGCTGCGTGGCACGCTAAGCGTAACGCTTGTGAGCCCTTCCGTAAAGCCAATAGGAATAATGAGCGGTTACGGCCCGCTCTGAGCTCCCGCGTTCCCTGAGGCAGGTCTGGGCTGTTGGCTGCGCGGCGCGGGCTGCGGCCGAGCAGTGGGAACTCTGGCACTGCAACGAGCCGTGACCCGTTTTCAGATTATGCAGGTCTCTGCGGCCCTTCTGATTCCGGGAGAGGAATTCCCTTTTAGAAGGTGCTCGGGACAAACAAAGCGCTTTACTGGGGACAGGTTTGGGGAAGGCCAGCAGTCGGCGAGCTAGGCCCGGATTTCACATTCCACTGTTACAGGTTCAGTGGTAAAAGCCAGTTAAAACAGAGGAATGCACTGCAGGAATTCCTGCATTTTTGCAGGAATTATCCTAGGAATTTATGTTTTAATATCTGTCGAATAGGTGTTAAACCATTTCTCTGGCAGTGATGCCTTCAGAGGCCGTTTCGCAGGACCTGCCTTCCTCCTCGCGCTGTGGCAGTGCAGGTACTACGCCCTGCGAGAAGCAGGTAGCGGAGTTCTCCTCGAGTGCTCATTCCTAGTCCTGACTCCCTCAGCGAGGACCAAATTTGGGTCTGAGCCTGGCATTTTTACACAGCAGTTGGCTCATGTTTCAGCCATCTTAAGAAGGTTTACTGAAACCCTCTGTTTAAATCTGGCACTTTGAGTTTTGAAGAATGCATGGCATTTTTGTTTCCAGTACCACAACGATGCTCAGCCACATATCTTTGTCTCTCCTGGAATTCGCGTCCAAGGCTAAGGTTCCTCTTCTCTTGCACAGTTGCCTCAGATGGTTGCTGCATTTTTTATAATGTGGAGTGAATTCCTGTGACTCTCAGAGAGATTTATTCTGTAATTAAATAATCCTGCTTTTTTTTGTTGTTGTTTTTGTTACAGTTGTTCAGTGAAAAAATAAGTGGAGCAGAAGGAACAAAGTTAGATGAAGAATTTCAAGAGATGGAAAGGGTAAGGAAAACAGTGTTTTGTTTTTCAGTATTAAGCTATTGCAGAATCAAAAATGTTTCATGTTTCAAGTGAGTATGCTTCCAAACAGAAATATTTAAGGGCGAGTGCAAATTTATCCTTGAGCCTTGTCAGGTCAGCCAAGGGGGAAGAGACAAGCTACAAAGGCTGTTTGAGCAGAGGACGCCGGTTCCACTGACACCTCTGGGTGGTGATGAATGGTGCAGAGCATCGGGGCGGCCTTTCTCCTCTCTCTGTGTGGGACAGCCAAGAGAGAAGTCTTGTGTTTAGTGAGTCCTTGTCAAAACGATGAGCTGCCCCATCTGATATGAATGGTAAAAATCTAACTAATAGGGTCAAATTTTCTCTGGATACAGAATTATAATTCTTCATGTTCAGCAATTCGCATGAATTGTTGTGGAAATTGGGATGTTTGCTACCCACTTACTAGCAGTTGTGTTGAAAATTTAAACAAGCTTATTGCCAGTTTCTGTTTTTTCAGCCTCAATGTGCACTTTTTTTTTTTTTAGCCACACTTTTTCTGTGTGTATTTTCAAATGTTCATAGTCGACCTAGGTCACAGCTTTTAGTGTTGGCAGATTGAGGAAAAGAGTCTTGCGTGAGTTGTGGGTTTTTTCCAGTGTGCACTTTTGAATTTGTTATCCATACAGGTTTCTAGGTTTCAGTTTCTTTGGCTACAGAATAATTATTTCCTCTCTCTGCGTTATAAGAGGAAAAATAATGTGCAGGCCCTAAGGGAGGAAGAGGGAAACAAACCAGAAATGTGATTTTTATGGCATTTTAGAAACTGTTAAATGGGAAGACAGTGCAAACTACTGCTTTAAAGGGTGCTGACCCCAGGATCATGAGGGATCTGTTCAGTCTTTTTCACCCGTGGAGAGGAGCAGTCTGTGTAACAACTGCTGGGCTGGCAGGAAAACTGTAGTCTCGACTGTGTAAGCTGTAGTCAAAGACTGATGGGCTGGAGAGGCAAGCCCACATTCTGACATAAACCTTCCCTCCTTCCCAGTTTTACCTGCCAATTAATATGTTTTTGGTAAAATCCTGTCATAACTGGGACATGGTTATTTATTTTAAGCTAGAATATTTGCTTTGTTTTAAATAAAATTTCATAATTGGTTAGAATATTGTATTATGTCTAATAAAATGATAAACTGCCTAGCAATCGATTTGCTTTTTGGTAACTGTTTTACTTTCCTTTTTCAGAAAATTGATGTTACTAATAAAGCAGTAGCGGAGCTTCTTTCCAAATCCACGGAGTATCTTCAGCCGAATCCAGGTAGGAAAGGAACATTAGGTGATGGATTTTGCTGAACATTATCATCTTACTTGGAAATTCATCCTAGGTAAATAAAAGCTAATTAGACCCCTGTGAGTGAGGCTTCTGGGTGTCCTCGAGAACTTTACCTGGGTGTGTCCTGAGCACCTGTGAAGCTTGTGTGCGGTGAGTCTGATCTGGGACGCGTCCACTTCGCAGCACACAACAAACTGGGTTTACTGGGCATGTATGTGTTGTGCATCCACGCCGTGTCTCCGACAGCTTGGTCCTGTGGCTCAGCACGTGTGGTCACGTTCGTGCTGGATTTGCTGGAGCGGGATATGGATCCCTACGGTGAAGAGAGCACCAACATTTTTATTTAGCAGAGATAGAACAAGCCATTGAATTTAGCTCACTTGCTGCTGCCATCAGGTACTGATGGTTACGCAGCCGCGGGGAAGGGGGCTGCCAACCTGTATTTGAATGAGGCTTTGTATGTTCTGGACACTTCTAGGTCTCAGTGGATTTTGGTTCGTCAGTTAATAGAGGTTTTTCAAATCTTGTGTTAAGAAACAAGAGAGGAGACGTGTTTACATTTGCAGTCAGTCGCAGAGTTTCTCTGCTGTGTCCTTGACTCACTGTCCAAACCAGCCGTTGGAAGAACCTCCGGTTTTTTTGAGAGCTGCCTGAATTCCTGTGTAGCCAGCTACCCCGGTGACTTCAGAGATAGCTCTGTCTTGTGGGTACCCTGTGAGGTGCACGTCCCTGAAGAAGTTAAATGGGGTATGCCTACATAAGGATGGTAGGACCCAGTCCTTTACCAAGGCCCAGCCGGGATGTTGGAGATGAAGCTAGTCACCATGCTCCACATTCCGCAGGAATTCCCTGCCCGTGGCCGTGACTGTGTTGAAGAAGCTGTTGAGTTATTAGTAAGGAGCAGGTTGGAAAGACTCTTCAAGAATAACTGCATGTTTTTGCACGCATCATGACAATAAATGAATGTGCATGTACCAGGCCGTTCTGCAGAGTAAATTTCTACTGTCTTGATTACTGGAACCAAAAAGCAGGGTGCAGGTGGGAAGTTCTGCAAAGTTCTCACAAGCAAGAGAGAGAAAACACATGAAATCGGCTTGGGCTGCGCTCATGTCTGTTCCGTGGTTGCTTTCTGCAATACTCCTAATCAAGGAGTCCACAAGCGGGAATATTCAAAGGAATGTGAGTATTGGTGAATATCCACGGAAGGTGCCAAGCACTATCTATCTGCCGGAGAAATGGTGCCCATTCGGTTGGGAATAAACACCAGTTTCATCTGACCCATGTTGTTGAATGGAATCTTGTTTCAACTTTGGAGTACGAGATACTGACCACAAAAAAATGATGAATTTACAGACCAGCATAGCGACTTGCTTCACGACATTGCTTGTTAAATGATTTACTGCTTTAAATATATTAGTTTTAAAAGTGGTTTTATAACTTTTTTCTTCTTTTATGGCCGCCTTAGCCTACAGAGCCAAGCTGGGAATGCTGAATACTATGTCAAAGATCAGAGGACAAGTTAAAACCACAGGCTATCCCCAGACAGAGGGACTCCTAGGAGACTGCATGATACGGTATGGCAGAGAGCTTGGCGATGATTCTATGTTTGGTGAGTTTGTGCATCTCCTCTGTGGGTATTTCAGCATAAAGTTTTTTGCAGAATATTGCTCAGTGACGTAACCGATGTAAATAGCTGCTGCAGGTAAGAGGGAAAGTGAAGTGCGTGCTACAGTTAACAGAACACAAGGCTTCTGGGTATTTGTCCACCTTGTTGCAGGTGGATTTGATAACATGCTGCTGCTGTCTGATGATTCATGTTATGACTGTAACCACTTCAGTTTCTAAGTTGTCAAACCTACATAATTGAGGGTGTTTCTTAGCTGCAGTGTATTTCTTTTAGCCTTTAAAAGGAAGAGTTACCCTGAATTTGAGAAGTAAGCTAAGAGGAAAAAGTCTCATGAAAAAAACCCCAGTGAATTTGGGTGGTTTGTGTTTTGGTTTTTTAATCATAGAATTAAATCTGGTATTTCTGTGCTTTGGAGCAGTGCATCAGAACTACGCATTTTCTTGATTTCATGAAAACACGCTCTAGCCTGGGCATGCCACAGTTCTTTGGTAAATCAAATCTTACCTATTTCCTCTCAGAATATGCTGGTACTTCACAGCCAGAATCTTGGCAGAGGACTTGCTTGTGTGTGGGCTTGACTGGGATGAATCCAGAGCAGTGTCACCGAGCTGCACAGTGTGCGCTTGATGATATGGCTGGGACTGAGAGAGAAAAAGGGAGAAATACCTGAGAAAAGGAGAATCCTGGTTAGGGGAAAGAGAGGGGGCTAGGAGAGAGTGGTATGGGCTGGGACTGCCTGCAGAAGCCAATACCTTTGGTTTTGTTACGTGCTGTTGTTAATATCTGCAGTTTTACACTCGGTGCTTGTCTTGAAATAGCAACAGCTGTGTAGGCGTGGGGCCCTCACGCTCCAGACTGAGTAGGTGCTGCGGAGGGAGAGATGCTGCTGGTAGCCAGAGGCGTCTCTATTCTCCTCACCAAGAGTGAAGTGGCCCAACTCGTCTGTGAGCTGGATGTATTTCTGGTTTTGCAAAAGCAACGGGGATACTAAGTAAAACTGGGAAAGGGGAAAGGACATTTCAAGCACCGTTCTGCCTGCTGATAATGCTTAATAAAGTACACAGCTATATTAACTAGATGGTTTTAAAGAAACAGCAACAATTTTGACTAAAAGGAGGTTTGGGAAAAAACCCATGCTGTATGTGAGGAAGCTGTAAAATGTGATTTTTGCAATTAAAAAGTTACTCACCTTTTGTGTATTGAATAATATCACTGAAATTCTGCAAAATAACCGGTTTGGTTTGCAGTCCTCAGAGTGAAAGAGATTTGTAACCTATAGAAATACAGTAGGGAAAATAGTATTGTTCTTTTTTCCTAGGGCATCTGGGGAAAAACTTCGGAACAAAAATTTTCCCAGTTCTGTTTTTCTGTAGGGGACAGGCAGTGCTTGCATTATTTCTTTTACTCCCCCAAGGGCCTGCAGCAGATACAGATACCTATTTGAAATAGCCGTTTTGTAAGACAAATTTTCTGGTTTTACATATATTGAGATACAAGTAGCCTGCTTTTACCACAGGTCTTGCACTACTGGATGCTGGTGAGAGCATGAAGCAAATGGCAGAGGTGAAGGACTCGCTTGATATTAACGTCAAACAAAATTTTATTGATCCTCTACAGTTACTGCAGGACAAAGATTTGAAAGAGATTGGGGTAAGTTTTCCAGAGAGAAGCTTAACTTACCAATAAACTGTGTCAATCAAACCCTAGTTCCCTGAGATGTTTTTCTTGAAAGCAATAAGGTAAATAAATTTCCCTGCATTTAAGTTTGTCTCTCTAGCAAAATAGTGGTGAAATCTGCTTGAAATCAGTGCCTGGTTATTCCTCACTTGTCTAACTTACTCGATTTGTGATATGGCTTGTACAAGAAGAATTGTGAAGAAAATGATAGTCTTTATTTTTCCATTTTATTAATTCTTATGAACATGTGAGCAGGCTGTGATTTACTGCCTCTGATTACCCTACCTTGCCATCTCTGTCAGCCTGAAGTTGTTTATCGCGGAGGACGAATGTAACTGTTGAAAAAGGCTCTTCAGGGCAGTCACAGAATGATCTGAAAGGTGCCATGAAGTGCTCAGGTGCCATATGCCACTCCTGGAAAAACAGGGAAAGCTGAGCAACACATTTTTAACCTTTAGAGTTAAGTTTTTCAGTGCTTTTGTTTCCAGTGTGACAATTCAACGAAAGCCAGGCAGTTTCTGTCTGAGCCTGTTGATGCCAATAGACTTGGGTAATAAGCCAGTTAAAACCCTGATGAAATGCAGAAATGAAAGTTATTTTATTTGTTTACACATAAATGGATGTGGAAAGCGCAGCACAAAGACAGCAATAACGTCTTGATGTCTGCAGCTGTCTCCTGTGGTACGCAACTCTTCTCAGTTGCAGTTCTTCCGAACTGATGAAAAGAAATTGTTTGACGTTAGCTTTAATGAGTGTTTTGTACTGTCACTTTGAGTCCATCCCGTGAGCCTGTCAGTCCCAGGATTTTTGGGAAAAGAAGGGTTTGTGTAGTTAAATCGAAGTGTCAAGTTGACACCGAACAAAGAAAGCAAGAATCCAGAATTTCTTGGAGCGCTGCTCACGGAATGAGCGGGGGAAAATAACCCTTTGACTTTTAGTTGTCATGTTGCAAATAATTCAAGAGGTAGAATTGAGTTGAGCGTAGAACATGGGTACACGGACACACTTCGATTGTCTGAATGAGAAGCAGGATCCAGTCTGAAGTGTTGCACATGCAGTGGAGTCCTGAAGTTGGAGGCTGAATTTCAGCAAATCAAGGTAGCCAGTCCCCAGGCATTAACAAGTGGTTATTTAAAGCCCATACAGATTAAAATTTCATTCATACAGCCCTAGACTTACCTGAGGCTGCTGTAGATCAAAGGGATGGACTGGATAATCTCTGAGCCTTGTATTTCTTTGATTCCGCATATCCCTCTGTTTGCACCCATAACTGAAATGTCCTTAAATCCCTGTGTGTTTGGACCGGTTCATGAATGTCCTGTCTTACTTAGCATCATCTGAAGAAACTAGAAGGACGCCGTTTGGATTATGATTATAAAAAGAAGCGTCTTGGAAAGATACCAGATGAAGAAGTGAAACAAGCAGTAGAAAAATTTGAAGAGTCCAAGGAACTGGCTGAAAGAAGCATGTTCAATTTCTTGGAAAACGATGTAAGTCTGGCCTGCGCTTTTGTGTGCGGCGCTGCATCCAGGAAGGCAGTGTGTGTGTGGGGTCGGCTAAAGCCTCTCCCAGCCTTCCTAGGAGGTAAGGTCTGGAAGCAGGAAGCGTGCCTCTGTCCTGCTGGCAGAGAGGAACGTAATGCCTGACAGTAAACGGGAGAGTGAGGGTTCAGGAATTCCTCCTGGAAATAGAGCGGCTCAGGCGAGGTTGTCACAGAGGCCTTACGGAGTTTCACAGTGTGTGAGGAATGGGCTGTCAGGATGCGGTTTGGTCAGCGGGAGGGAGGGAGGGGATTAACACAGTCGCAGACCGGCTCCTCACACTGTGAGCAAGGGTACGTACCCTGCGCTTGCTGGATGGTAGCTCACTCCTCTTCAAAACTTTGCTGCTGATTCGAAGTCTCTCAGCTATTTTACCTCCGAAAATTACTCGACAGAGAGCGAGTTTATGGCTTGGGCTCAGGTACCTGGACTTGGGCCCAGTCCCAAATCTCTCACGAAATTACATCTAACGAAGGAGTGTTTTGTTGGGGACAATCCCCGCCTCTGTCCACACGCAGAGAAACAGCCGGATGTGCTTTTTCCCATGTAATCATGGAAATCTAGAAAGAGAGAACTATTTGGGCCTATTCCAAAGCTTTCTCTTCTCCTGTAGGTGCAGCACGGCAGAAAACACACTTAGAAAATAAGGGGCAGTTACAAACTATCCCGTAGCTCCTCCGCTGTCAGGGAGTGGGACACGTGTCACAGCAGTGTGTCGCTCAGTAGGCCTCTTGCCGTTTCACCAGAGCACAGTATACGAGGGCAGCAAAACACCTCTGTCAGCAGCTGCGGCACGCTGTTCCGCTGCAGGCTCTACGAGCTGCCTGGTTGCAGCGTGTGCGCTGTAGTTCTGCCTTGCAGGAGCAGCTGGGAAGTGTCTCAGCTGGTGTTTAGCATTAGTCAAAGCACCAAACTGAGGATAAAGTGGATTAAAATGGTTTAGCTGAGCTGAGTTATGCTTTCTAGTATAAGTAATTCCGCTTTTGGGAGGGTGTGAACTCAACGTCCCTTTGAGGTTTTTCCATACCCACTTACTATTTTTCCTGTTTAAAAAAAACCCTCTCTGCTCCTTCCCTTCCATTTTCCATGCTGGCCCAGCCTGTCCTCCTCAAACTTCTCATCAAAGCCTTGGTGTCTAACCCTAGACTGACTAGCTGGGTCTGCAGAGATTTTAACTGCATCGCTTCATAGAATCACAGGTTGGGTTGGGTTGGGAGGGACCTTAAAGCTCCTCTAGTTCCAACCCCCCTGCCATGGGCAGGGACACCTTCCACTAGACCAGGTTGCTCCAAGCCTCATCCAGCCTGGCCTTGGACACTTCCAGGGATGGGGCATCCACAGCTTCTCTGGGCAACCTGTTCCGCCCCACCCTCTGCGGGAAGAACTTCTTCCTGATGTCCAATCTAAATCTACCCACTTTCAATTTAAACCCCTTGTCCTATCGCTACAGGCCCTTCCCACCCTTTCCAGTTTCTAGGATGTGTCCCTTTCTTGGTCTCCTTGCCCTGCAACCTCTGTTCTCTGAGCTCTGGTGCCTTCCCAGCCCCAGTCCTGATCCCCATCCCTGCACACAGCTACTTCCAGACCTCCCACATGGACGCAGTTGATGCACTTCGTATCAGATCCATCTTCCTGCCTTTCCCACTCTCGGGCCCAGGCTCCTCTTGCTAAGTGGCTTTTAGCCCCTCAAGTTTCCCTGGCTCTTTCCCAGTCTCTCTCCTAATCCACCATTCCATATCGCTCCTGGCTCTTCATCATCTCGTTTGGGCAGGACTTCTCTAGCATTTTCTCCGGCCACCGTCCAAGCCCCAGGCACTCTGTGGGCTGTCCCCAGCTGGTTCACATTCCTCTCTTCTGATGGGGCCGACTGGTACCAGCTGTGGCTTCGGTTCTGTGCGTTTCATTTCTGTTCGCTGTGTGACAGCGTTTGGCTCTTTGGAGTCCCAAGAGTTTCTAATCATCTTTTTAAAGCGACTAACAGCAGACTGAGTATAGCACAGAACTGCCACGGGTCCATAAAACATTCTGGGCACGTTTACTCGGATACCTTCTTGTGATCCAGCCTCTGAAGACATCACGATGGAATGCAAACATGTCAGACTTCCTGGGGTCTGTCCTCTTAATGCTGTCTTAAAGGAAGAGGACAAATCTGTTTCTGCTCCGTCCCCAGTACAGCTTGAACTTTTCAGTTGTGTAGGAGAATGAGATGATTCGTTACCTCATGAATAAAAATATTTAGATTTTTCTTTCTCCTTCATATTCTCCCTTTCCTCAGCATTCATATTTCTGAGCGATTGGCCGATACTTTTTTAAATCCAGGTGGATAAATCGCATTTCATTTATGGCTTTATAAATGCTGCCATCTAGTGAGGTAAGTCCAGATCCTGTCAGGACTGCAATTTGTAAACATTGCTAATGAACGCTAAGGGGCCTGAGTCAGAAGAGCCTTCACGGTGTGGTTCCTTCCAACGGACCTGCTAAGGGCTTTTCACCTTAGCTTTCACCTGCTAAGGGGTCATGTCCTCTTAAGTGTCTCAGGCTTGGGTGTTGACAGGCAGCTGGCTGGGAAGTTGAGAGCAGAAGGATTTGCACGTTGTGAAGGGAAATGACTCAAGGACCCAGCCCTGCGTTAGGGAATGAGGAGTTACACCTCAGTTTTGTTCGGTTTCCAGCTGGCAGTTTCTTTGATGGAACCACATATGCTCTGTTTCAACAGCCTCCACGAGGCATGATGGTCTCCTCAGATACCAGGTCTGTTCTGAATGATCGCGCTTATCCTTCAGCTGAGTGTACAGCAGGTTCCTTACAACTCTTTTCCTCTCTCTCAGGTAGAACAAGTCAGCCAGTTGGCTGTGTTCGTAGAAGCAGCGCTAGATTACCATAAACAATCCACAGACATTTTGGAGGATCTGCAGAGCAAGCTGCAAAACCGGTAAGGCTGATCCCATCAGAACCTCTTTGGCTGCGGTGGGTGAGCGTGAAAAGTCACTGAAGCAACAGATCTCGTAGTAGCATCTCGCAGATGCACGTTTGCTGCGCTCTGTGCCCTACGGGACCTCACTGCCTTCCGCATTCCCACCTGGCGGCATCTTGCTGCCCTGGGAGCCTTGAAAAGCTGTGACTGTCTGCAGAACCTGGCGCTCACCTCTGCTCAGGTCAATCGGGACGGCCTCCGTGTGTTTGTAGGTTTAGTTAAACTTGCATGCTTTGAGTTGTGTGTTGCCGGCGTTGCTGTTGGCCTGTTTTCCTTGAGAGGAAGGGCTACAGCAACATTCTGCAGCCGAGCGAGGAGATGGGCAGCTGACTTGGAGCATGGCTGTGGTGTAATGTGCTTACGAAAGGCCCGGATACCTTGTGCCATCCCGACAGAAGAAAACCAACGCTGCTGTCACTAGTCGGTCACACGTCACTGGGAACCAGCGGAGAACAGGAGGCGTAGATGCCTTGAGTGCCACCGCAGCCCGGGCTAACCCTACAGTCGCAGAGTCGAGGTGGCTGTTTGGGGCTTTGCTGAGATCAGGGTGGCTGTGGGGCCTGAATCAGCACGGGGGTGTCTGAGACACCCTTCACCTTCCCAGCCGGAGGGGTGCGGGATGCAAGGAGGCCTCCGCTGGGCCATGTGCAGGAAGAGGTGTTGGATCAGTTGTGCTGACCGCAGGATTGTTTCCCCTTTTCTCTCCTGGAAAGGTGACGTGTGAGATGCAGTCCCTGGGCCTCTGTCCTGGCTGGGTTTCTGCATGTGTCATCTGCAGCTCAGCTTTCCCAGGAGCTCGTTCCTGGAACTTCTGAACTCGGTGGCAGCTGTGGATGCTCAGCACTTCTCAAACTCAGGCTGTTAAGCTTTATGCCTCTGTCAGCAGGATCAAAGCATTAAATAAAATAGGGACTCACTGAAATTCAAGTAGTGCATGAGAACTGAGCAGCTTCTAGTGAATATAACTACCTTCTCCCCCCTCTCCCCACCCAAAAAAGCCTGCAAACAAACCTAGCAGAAGGGTTTCCCCCTCACCTTTCAAACACCAAAGCGCTGAACCTGAGTGGAAGCTCCATAAGTATTTCTTCCTTCAAGTAAATCTCTGGCCCCTCTTGTGTTCCAGAATAAATGTAGCATCTAGTCGGCCGAAACGGGAATTTAAGCCAAAGCCTGTAATAACAACCACCCTGGAAGTCGGTGATAATCAGCAGCACAATGGGATCGCCTACAGTTCTTCCATAAAATCGTCAGGTAAGCCTGTGGCCACGGAACTGACGTGCCGGTAGAGGTTTTCCCAGACTGTTGCGTGAGGCGTTCCTTGCGCCACGAGAAGAACGGACCCGCGAAGCGTCAGCGGCCGTGCATCGGACCCCAGTTTGTTTCCCAGATTTGGGAATGGGATTGTGAAGCTGGGTTCTTCTCAGTAGTCTCTCACCCACTGTGAAGTCGAGGTGTGGCATTCTGCGTCGTCTTTTGGGTTGTCTGTGTTGCCACCAGGGGTGGGAGGAGGGAAGAGAGGGGCACTTGCAGAACACAGTTGGTGTCTCACAAAGGCCGATGCCTAAGGTGGGTGTGCTAGAACGCTGTCTGGAGTGTCTCCAGATGCTAATTCTCTCCAGTCTTAGACTATAAATGATCAGTACAGGATCTGAACTACTGGCCATGTGACATGCAGAGTGGTGACTCCTGCCCTTACCCATTTTATTCACGTTTTATTTTACCGCCCCCTACAATATGCACCGAGGTGTGTGCACTGATGAACTGAAGTACTTGGGGACCTGCTGGTGTTGGGGGTAGGATCCCTTCCTTTGAGTAAACCCTGATTCCACAAAACAAAATCGACAGCCCTTGGAAGTTGTGTGAACGATAATAATTAGTAAGGTTACACTTCTCACTGAAATAGCTTTTCCTCATCTCATGGATAAAATTATTTTGCCCTGTCTCCTTAATGGCTACAGCGTGTGATGAGAAAAGACAAAAAAAAAAAACAACCCAAAAGACAACAATATGAAAAGAGAATGAAGAAGCCTTTTTCCCCCCTAAACATTATTTGTAAGGAAAATAGAGGGAAGCAGTGAGCCAGAAGTTCCCTTCTCTGCTTGACATTGTATCCAGGATCTCTTTCTGAACCTTTTCCTCTTCCCTCCAGCCTTGTTCCTTTTTAAAGGCTGTTGGGAGAGAAATGAGAGAGCTCAAGGTGAAAGGATAAAGCTTGGAGCTGTAACTTCATGCTCATTCTAAGGTCTCTTGAATTTTCTTGCACTCTGCTAGCAGATGAAGCAATTATCCGTACTGTCGGGGATTTGCGGCAGTTCAGCAGCATAAACCTACCCGGCAAGATCTTACTCCTCTGTGGGTTTCTTTGTGCTTCAGGCTATTCGAGGGTGTGTAGTGAAGCTCTCCATGCTGACCACACGCAAAGAGCAGTTCAGTGTCAGTGTCAAGTGTGGAACTGAGGGAGACAACCCCCTCTTTGCATGCTCCTCTCAATTCAGACCATGTGGTGATACAGTCACAGAGTCATGAATTGGTTTGGGTTGGAAGGGACCTTAAAGCCCATCCAGTTCCAACCCCCCTGCCATGGGCAGGGACACCTTCCACTAGACCAGGTTGCTCCAAGCCTCATCCAGCCTGGCCTTGGACACTTCCAGGGATGGGGCATCCACAGCTTCTCTGGGCAACCCGTCCCAGTACCTAAGGACGTGTTTCGCTCAGAGCACCGAGGATGTTTGCAGCTGTCAATAACTGCCTAGTTATTTTCACAGCACATCTGGAACAAAGTAGCAAAAACATAGCAACCTCTATTAAAAAGCCAGCATAAAATTTCTAGGCCCCTTTCAGTTACTTGTCGTTATGTAGGCTTCATTTTTTCTACTTTGTGTGCGCAGTAGATGCAGCGAGAGCTGGGAACGCAGCTGCAGTATCAGAAGCAGAGAAGGACCTTGAGTTCAGTGCAGGCATTGCCCTGCACCAGCTGAGACCTGACCAGTGCTGCTCCCTCCCAGCCAAGACCTGATCAGGGCTGCTCTCTGCATCCAGGAACAGCTTCCCAGCAGCCTCGGTAAAGAGAGTTAACTCTTTCCTGGCTGAACCCAGCACAAGGAGATTCGGGTTCAGCATTTGTGCATAGAATCACAGACTGGTTTGGGTTGGAAGGGGCCTTAAAGACCATCTAGTTCCAACCCCCCTGCCATGGGCAGGGACACCTTCCACTAGACCAGGTTGCTCCAAGCCTGGTATAAACCAGTGTGTCAGACCAGAGATCAATCAGCACACACATCACAGGGGTTTATTATTGCCATGAAGCAATTGATCCAAGGTGCCCTTTAAGGGTCATCAATCCCACATTTGGGGGAAAGATGGACTAGATGACTTGTCAAGGTTGCTTCCAGCCCACTTAATTTAAAATAAAAAGAGCCAGTTTTAATGAGCTAAAATTGAGTGAATGAACTGAACCAGTTCATGACCAGCGGTCACTAACATAAGGAAGGAGCAAGCCACGTCCATTCATTGATTCCGTTCATGGACTGTTCCATCAACCACTTGCTTATAACTACATGACTATCCCAAGCACAAGGACAGGCTG